CACAGCCGCGCAGTGCCCCGGCAGCGGTGCCCGGTGGGGGGTGGCCACCCGCGCCCCGCCGCCCTCGCACCTCCTTCGCCCCGGCCCTCGGGCGCTGCCGCTCACAGCCCCGCTCCCGGCCCCCAACACCCCCCCAGTGCGCAGCAAGCGACACAACTGGGAAACCCACTTCTCATGGATCCCGTGAACGGTAAAGAAACTCATCTCCGGCCCCGCGTCCTCGCTGCAGGTTTTCCCTCTTCCTGGAATAGCCGTCTCACGGTGGGAAACGCAGCCGTAGCCACAGGGAAGGGCATTGCTGGCAGCCGGGCTGCTGCCCGCGGCCCAGGCAGCGCTGGGATCTCCAGCCGAGAGCCGGGCCGAGAGCACGGCCGCTGTTCTTGGATAAAGACGTAAAGGAAACGTTACCCCCTCACGATTGCAGCATCTGCGCTGCTGCTGCCGACCCCCCGTCCGCTGGCACGTCCTGCGGGAGCAGATAGCCGCGTAGCTGGGCTTTTTTTTCCTTTTCCCAACGCCAAGGGGAACTATACGTCTGAAAGGCAAAATATGACGATGTGGTTTTGCCATAGGAAGGGGCAATGGTGAGGAAAGCAAATCAACAGGCTGGCCGGAGTTTGGTGAAAGATGCTGCCGCCGCCGTCGGAGCCATCCCGTTACGCGCACGCCTCAAACCCAGCGAGCGGTGAATTGGGAATGAGGGCGCGCGGGGCTGCTGCGGCACCGGGGCATCTGTTGGCGGGGATGTTTGGCACCCTGCGAGTTGATGGGGTGATAATGGCCTGAGATACAGCAGGCACCCTGCGGCTGGGGTTTGTAGCGCTTAGGGAAAGGCGTGCACCAGGGCGGACTGGATTAGCGTGGCTTAGCACGCTCCCCCCCGGAGACTTTAGAAACTCTGCTCTTTAGCAGGGCAAAGCAAACATTCCCAACCTGAAGCGTGGCATCGAGCCGCGGCTGCAAACAGCCCGTCGGGGTCTCGCGGGGGGGCCGGCTCTGCTGCTCTTTCCCGACAAGTGACTCCCGGCTCCTGCGGGGGCCGCAGCGCTGGGCCGCGGGCCGGAGGGCTGCACGGGGAGCGCGGGCGGAGGAGGCCCGTCCTCCGCTTTGCTTTCGGTCTTTCCCAGCGCTCCGGGCAGCTGAGCGTGCCCGCGGGTTCGCACAGCTCGCTGAACTCTTTGGTTAGTGGCACTGCTGAGCGCCTCTAGTCGGGACCTGCTTGAGGCGCACGAGTTACAGGCGGTTTCCCAGCGCCGCTTTGCAGATGGATGCTGTCAGGGAGGGACTTCACCCTCTCCGGTGCGTTCCGTCCTCAGCCACCTGCTTTCCCCGAAGCAGCTATCTCCGCTCTCCCAGCCCAGCGGGAATTCTCTGCTTTCCCAGCCCTCGGACTGCCCGGCCGCTCCGCTGCTCAACTCACCGCCGTCAAGGCACGCAGCTCCCCGTCCTGCTGCGCTTGCTCCTGGGACTGAGGGCCCCGCGCCGCGACGGCGGAGCCGGCGGCCTGCGAACCTCCACGTGCAGCCTCTCTCGGAGGCTCGGGGACCCTTGTCCTGTCCCCGGGCTTTGCTTTCGCCAAGGGCGATAGAGAAGAGAGGGGTTAAAAAGGGTCTGGGTGATACTTAAAATATTTCTGAGATTATTTAGGGTTGAGCGGCTCTTGGCACATTATAAAGCGTTGAAATGGCGTGATGTAGGTTTGCCTGCGGATGGGGACATCCCTCGGAAGAACAGTTTTCACTTGCAAACTTTACGTAAGATCCGTGGGGGAGATTTAAAAGGAAACAACTGCTCCATGTGTTAAAGCCAGCTGAAACTGGCTGTGTTCGGGGGGAGCCCGGAGGGCGCAGGGGTGCGTCCCGGAGCAGGGAGCGTCGCGGCCGCCCCGGCAGCGCTGAGCGAGGAGGGGCGGCTGTGGGCCCCACGGTGGGGGGCGCGGTGCCTCGCCCGCTCGCCAGCCCCGGGAGCTGCGGACAGCGGCCCGTCTGTGGTCAAGGCCGTGTCTTCTGGCTTGCCAGCCCCGGCGCTGCAGGGCGGCTGGGTGCTGCCCGCCTGCTCCCCGGCTGTGCCGGGGCCGGTTGGGAGCGGGCGACCATTGCAGAGGTCACATCGGCGCTGTCGTTATCTGCTGTGCCCTGATACTTCGTTCTGGGAAAGCTCCAGCCCAGGAATATCTCATCAAATAACGCTTTTGGAGCCCCGTGCAGAAGCGTCCCGTCCCTGCCGGGTGAGGGTGGCAGGTCCACCCGACGGCTCTGACCCCTGTCTCTGGCTGCCTCCCCCCACTCCGCCGGGCTCCCGTCGCTTCCAAGGCAGCGTGACTGCCCCTCGCCACCCCGCGGGTGCTCGTCTGCCCCGATCGCCCCGTGGCACCTTCTCACCCCCATCTCCTCCCCCTTCCCAGTTAGCGGAGCCGTTCCCCAAGCTGTCTTCTACTGGGACAGGCAGGCGGTCCCTAACCGGCCTGGGGATGCTCGTTTCATGGTAAAACACACAGATGTGCTGGTTTTGCACGACGAGGCTGTGCCTAGCACCGCGTTGCTGCCCTGCGGGCTTCCCGGCAGTGGATCCCGGGGGACCAGGGCCACGAGGGCTCAGCCAGCAGCTGGCCCTCCGGGAGCAAAGCCACCAAGGTCCTCTCCTGGGACAGGCGGTGGCTGGCAGTAATTCCCGTCCCAAAGCTCCTCCTGGGGCTGGCCCGGGGAGCGGGGAGGGGGGAGGCCGCGCTGCCGCCCGTCGCTCACCTGCTCTGCTGCCGTTCCCTGCAGGAGGTCGGCCCCACCATGGTGGGGGACGAGCACTCGGATCCCGGCCTGATGAGCTTCCTGGGGGCCACCAAGAGGAACATGCTGGGCAACCACTTGTAAGTCCTCCTCTGCGACGGTGCGGGCTCTCCCCTCTCCTTCTTTTCCCAAGAAAACTGGGAACATTTTCACTCCTTGTACTCACCGTGGCACCTTCCAGCTGCACATTTAGCACTGGGGCCAGTTTGATGCGGACAGGGCACGCACGTGTCCTTGCCCCTGCCTGTTCGTGCTCACCCAAGGCAATGCTGCCTGATATTTCATTTAGTTCTGGCTTTTTTCCTTGCTCCGACCCCATTTTAGCCCCTGGCCCATCTCCTCCCCTCTCCTTGCCCCTCACACGCTTGGGCTGCTTCTGCCTGCTACCTCCACGTGCCCCGGCTGAAGTACACGGGCACAGTGAGCATTTGCATCTCCCTGCATAACTGTATCTGCCTCTATCCCACCCCTAGTCCTTAAAGACAAACCTTCTCTCTCTTATCGTCACTTCCAGCCCTGAGACGCTCAGAAGCAAACGGCGCCCATCGCTCCTCTCACAGCCCGGCTCTGGCCGTGGCCTTTTGCGGTGCCGAGCCACCCGACGCTCGTCCGCCGTCTTTCCTGTCCTGTCCCGCTGTCCCGTCCCACTCTCTAGTGCAGCTTGAGGTTTCTCCCCGATAGCCAGCCTCCGAGCCAGCCCCTCCCGACAGCTCCTGAAGCTTTTCCCTGGGCTGCTGAGCCCCGGGGTCGGAGCTGCTTCCCATCATGTCCCCCCGCCTCCAGCCCACGAGCCCGCGTGTTCCCAAGCCCTGTGTATCTGACGCTTCTCCACGTCCCCGTCTCTCTCTGCCCACACCAGCCTTCACCAAAGTGCGGCTTGGAGATGTTACCGGCGTGTTCTTTCCATCTTGGCCCACCTTTTTTCTTTTTTCCCCACTTGATATCTCACTTCTTGTTTGTCTCCAGGGAAAAAAAAACCCACAAAGCAAACCAAAGCCCCAGATGCACACTGACAGGCGAGGGGAGCGGTTAGATGTCTGCTGAAGCTTGCCCACTCGCGCCGTGGCGCAGAGGAGGCGTGGGAGGAGAGCCAGGCGTTAAGCAGAAGGGGCCTCTCGGTCCCACCACGTTCTCAGACTTCCATCGGTGGAGCTGGGAAAACCCACCTACTCCCTACCAGCCCGGCAAACGTCGAGGTCCGGCTCCTCAGCTCCTGCGGCGTTAAAAACCTGAATGGGGTGGGAGATTTTAAAGAAAGAGGAGATTTTAAAAAAAATACTGAAGGTCTCCCGTTAAAGAGAAACCCTTCCGAATGCAAACCGAGGCCACTGCCAGCCCCGCGCTGCCGCGGGCCGGCTGATCTCGGACCCTCTGCCGCCCATCGCCCCGCTGCCCGGCTCCGGGTGGCTTTGCTGGGCTGAGCCGTCCCCACGCCGCCATTCCCAGTCCCCACGCCGCCATTCCCAGTCCCCACGCCGCCATTCCCAGCCCCGTCAGGGGCCAGGAGCG